CCCTAATGCAATATTTCCATGATCTCAAATCTCTCCATCTCCCACTGTTATTCTGCTGCCCCTCGGCTGACTGTCTGCTCCTTATGGGTAAATGCTAAATAGTGATGACACTTATGGACTTCACAGAGTACCTAGTTCTGTCTCTTCTTTGGGTAAAACCTCCCCTGGAATAAGACAGAGTGTTGTTCCTTGTTTCTTTTTGAAAAGGAGGCGTCAGCACTCTGAGTTCAGGTCCTGCTGTACTGAAAAGACTTTCTGGGCAGCAAGGTTTTATAGACCTTTCTAGGGATGACCAAGGCTCTAAGTTCATTTCTAAACTTTGTTGTAGAGCAAGATCACCTCAGCCACATTGCCTCTGCCCACAGCTATCATGAATTTGTTCCTGGGATTGATGTTCACCAGCTGTTGAGGTCCCTCACAACAGAAATATGGCCCTTAATGTAGTTGGTGTTTGATTAAGGCCTAAATCCTAAACTGCCATTGGAAGCCAACTGTGAATTGGAATAGGGACCTGAGCATGTCTTACGTGCTCGTAATTGCCTAAGCAATAAAAAGAGAGTGGCAACGGCATTGTGTACGACTCAAGAGAGTTCATTGTCGGCTCTGATATCTTGGATTAAATCAACGCAACTGGGAGGTGACCAAAGAAGGAATTCCTCAGGCAGTTTCTCATCTAGGAGGATGAGGTAAAATGCTGCTTGGTCACTGAAACTGGGTGGGAGGTCAAACAGGACCTTGTGGCTTAGCACCACTTTGATATATGGTGTCTGGATAGAAGCAGTGGTAGAAAGGGACAATGGCTTGGTTTGGTCTTTAAGAGTTTTCACATTGCTCTCCAGCATTACTTCAGTCTTCATGCAAAAGTCCTTTTGCTGCAACCTTTGCTAGGAGTTTTCATTCCTATTTCCATTTGCTTTCAGAGTGGAGAAGAATCATGAGCCATCCAGGTACTGAAAGATACTCATGGATCAATGTCTTCTTTTTACAGTGATACTCTAGGACTAACTAACAGTTTGGGACATGAGAATATTTTTACCAAGATGGAAGGAGTCAAAACCGTTTGTGCCAGACTGAGTATTTTGGGGTCTCTGACTGTCCCCATCCCACTGAGGTCCATACGATTCTCAAAGTGGTGGTAAAAGTGGAGAGCCTGGGAAGGGGAAGTACCAGAGGGGTGGCAAAGAGTCTAGTGAAGGACTAGGTTGCTCAGTTATACTTTTCAAATGCTTGAATTGGCACCTGTGGTTGCCAGTTTTTCCCCTCCAATTGTCATTAACATGAGTGCCCTACTTTTATCTTACTGGGTACAAAAGGAACTGACTCAGATGAAGCTTATATTTTTTTTAAAACTATAGAAAAAAACTCTTAGAGAATATTTTTGACAACTTGCAATGGTATGTTAAAATTTCTGGTTTTACCATGGCTGCACAGAAACCATGGCTGCATAGAAATCAAAGCTTTAAAAGTTAGAAAGAACAACAACTGAACAAAATACAGATCACCAGCTGAAAGGCCTGGCCTGGAGAAAATTGAGTGGGCAGATGGAGGAACTGGAAGGCACTGGAGTAGTGAGGGTGGGTCAGTGGAGAACACAGTTATGTGAGTTCCCATGTTCATACTCATATATACAGGGCCAATTTTCTCTAATCTTCCTCTTTCTGGAGCCGATTCCCTGCCCTCCTGTCATCATTCAGGGCTCTGAAATCTTCTTTCACCCACAGTCATCAACACTACTTGCTGGGAGTAGATTTGGGAAAGTCTCTGCTCCTCCATTCAACCACCATGACCATGATCTTTCTCCTATGTCATTGACTTGAGGCATCAATATTTCCTCTCTGTTTTTACTACAGTTGACTTCTTCATATGGTCAATCCTTAACCCTTTTCCCCAATGCGCACACACACATCACACCACACCCATACTCTATTCCTCTTCACCACATGTACACACACACTCCTCCCCTGCCATTTGGGTATATATTTTTCTCATTTCTTTTCACCATAAGGGGAGACTCTTCCTTTCTGTTAGCCACTCAGGACTTGCGAAAAAGGACCCATTCATGAGCAGTACAAAATCTAAAAGCAAACACATCTTGCGTCCTGGTGGTCTATGTTGTCTCTGCCATGGTCTGCACAACTGGGGATGTCTCTGAGGGAGACCGAGTCCTGGACTAGGGCAAGTGGAGCAGGGTGAGATTTTAAAATGAGGACTAGAAACTGTAAGGGACAGTGAGCTGTGTGCATCCTTGCCCCATAATATACTGCTGGGACTCCCTGTGCCACCGGGGCCTCTAACCCCCACCTCCTGTGACAGACAGGGGCAGGAGGGAAACAATACTGAGTCCCAGCCTGGACCCAGCCAAGTGTTTCTGTCTATCACTAACCCATCTCTGCAACCTGCCGTGCCCTATGCTAAGGCCCCAAAACTCCTTCCAGTCAGGGCTGTGTAAATCTGGAGGGCAGGAAACTCTCTAATTCACCCTCAAATTGGGGCTGGTTCTGTCACTGACATGATCAAACTCTCCCCCCGGACTGAGCTCTGCCCCAATGCCCTGATTCTCTCTTCTCCTGTGCAGAGAAAGTGATTCTGGATCCAGACACGGCTCATCCCTACATCATCTTGTCTGAGGATGGGAAAGTCATAGGAAGAGGACCCAGATGGCAGAATTGGCCTGACAACCCTAAGAGATTTACTACACTTCCCTGTGTGCTGGGCTCTGAGGGATTCACTTCAGGGAGGCATTGTTGGGAGGTGGAGGTGGGGGACGTGGGAGATCTGTGGGCTCTAGGGGTCTCTAGAGAATCGGTGAAGAGGAAGGAAGGGATTGGCCGTGATGCTGATGATGGGATCTGGGCTGTGGAGCAGTACTTGCGTAAGTGCCGGGCTATGACCACCTCAAAGTGGGTCCCCTTGGGCCAGGTTCCCAGGAGGATCTGGGTCGTCCTAGACTGTGATGAGGCATGGGTAGAGTTTGTCAATGGTGATACGGATACCCTGATGTACACCTTTTCACAAGCCTCATTTGCTGGGGAGAAAATCTACCCTTGGTTCTGGCTGGAGTATATTACTGAGGAACCCCAACTCCGACTCTGCCATTGAGACACAAGAAAAGTTTGGCAGAGAGGACCTTTAAATACCCACTTCATCCTCAGGTTATTCAGTGTAATCTCTATGTCCCTGGAGGGGCAGGGTTGGGTTGTTGGACTGTCGCACTACAGAGAGAAGGAAGTGGTTGAAACAGAAAGCCTAATCTCTTAGCCTGTCTGTCAGATCCTTTATGGACTGTATGATCAGAAACTGCTAGATGGGAACCAATGGAGGGTGGGATGTTGGGTACTGGAGAGAAATGACCCCAAACCAGGAAACTTTGGAATTTTTAAATCCCACTGAAACTGGAAATGACCTGCATTGCACTGCTGCTTTCTTTAAAGCTTTAGCTAATTTCAAGTGGAGACATTGCAAGGACTTACACAATTGATTTGGATAAACTTTTGTTCTTTCCTCTTTTCTCCTTGATATTGTTTAATCTTTCCCCAGTGATTGGATGTCCTCACGATTAGAGAATATAAAGCTATTTTTGCTGAATGAAAAATTTGTTTCCTCTTGGTTTGTGTTTTCCCCAACTCTGTTTTCATATTCGGTCCCTTGATGAGAATTTGTTACCAGAAGCAGGTAAGCTCAAAGAGTTCGGCTCCTCACTGACCATATCCCTGTTCCCGACTGGAGGGTCTTGTTCTCAAGATCAGCACATTCAGGATCAGGAAAGCCTTTTTCCTTAGGTCAGGTAGAAGGGCTGTCAGAAAGAAAGTCGGCAGGGCATAATCATGGGATCTTGCACTTGCTGATAATTAAAATCCTAGTATTCATATGTAGAAAAACCAGGAAAATTGTGCAGCTAGTATCCTGCCTCAGTCCTTACAGCAGCTCCTGATGCCACTGTCATGTGTGTTTGAAGGAAGCCCATGAGGAAGCTGCTTCCTGGCAATAGGGCAGTGATGCTTCACCTGAAGTTTGTCCAATGGAGAGTGACTTTGGGCAGCTTGAGGCCTCTTCTGGTCAAGGAAAGGGACTAGAGCCTGTTCGAGGAGGGGAAAAGGGCACATGCTTTTCTGGCTGTCCCTGAACTCTGCAGAAATAATTCTCCCTCATATACTTTTAGATTAAAGATGGTCAAAGCATTTGCATTTTCAAAGCTTCTTCTAAGAAAGAGAATTTTTGTGGGGGAAAAAAAAAGCTTCCATGTTGTCCACCAACTGTAAGTGAAACACTTCAGTGACAACAGCCAGACATGAAGAGACTCCAACTCAGTGGGGCTGGGAGGGAAACCTGCTCTGTACCAATGAGGCCAATTTTTCCATTGAGAACCTTGCTATGGGCAGCCCTGGAAAAGACTAAAAATTAGATGGAGAAATTACTGAGGATTATGGAATTTTGATAGAACTTTCTCTGAATTTTCCTTGATGTTTGAAGAGCAAGTCATAATTTTAAAAACTACATTACACAGTTTAGTGTTGCTCTATTATTCCTAGAGAAAATCACCTTCCCTAGTGCAACCAGGTAGTCAACCAACAGAAGTGCTAGGTGATGCTTACTTGCAGCAGAATTACACATTTATGGGGTACCTCCCCAATAATATATTTAATCACACAATGAGTAAATGGGAGACACCTCCTTTCCAATTAAAGCTGAGAGCATAAAAATGGCCTCATTTATAGCAGCTTCCATTGTGTTAACAATCTTGCTCATCTTTCTTTCATCCCAAGTAGTCATTGCTCAGACTCTCTGAGCCCCTTCCCATCTGTCACCCACTACCCACTCTGCAGCCAGAATAAATGCATGGCCTAGCTATCACCCTCCAAATGGGAAGGGTGAACAGCAAGGAAAAGCAGAAAGAGCAAGAAAATGCGAAGGCACAAGGAACGCTAAGGTATGGACAGCTCAGCACTGTGAGCGGAGAGGAGGCTTTATTGGCAGTAATGGACATTGTATCTGTGGTGGGATTTTGCAAGTAAGAACTTTTCCAGCCGGTGGTGAACTACAGCACAAAAGCTGTTATGAGTCTTATGTTCAGCAGATCCCTGGGTGTCCTTGACCTGCTGAAGCATTTGTTTAAACATGTAAACATTTCTATATGTCAATCTGACTCTTGCCAGAGAGGAGAGCACAGAAGACCTGGGCTGGGCTGGGCTGGGCTGGGCTGGGCTTCAACCTTTGGACCCTGCAATAATACATAAATGAACTTCATCAATCAAACAGTTACTAGTGACTCAGCTGTTTGGTGAAGTTATTCCAGTTTGACAATGAAATTAAATGTCCTTTGTATTTAACCAGTCTCCTCTCCAACAGCAAGGAGAACAGACTTCTCAGCATTGCTCTTGCCTCCATCTAAAATGGAGCATGTGCAAAACAGTCTACAATCCCCAGTGCTGCCAGTACAACCAGGCTGTGATGGCTTCTTTGAAGGATTCTTATCTCCCAATCCTAAAGGAGATGCCCTCAGGGACTGCCATTCAGACTTTGCTACAGGTATCCTCGCTTGCTACCTCTACGAAGGCAGCAAGAAGGAGAAGGAGGGATGTTTCAGGTCAGCATGAAAAAGTTAAGAACTACTTTTCAGTAGAAGAGTGGAAGGAAAACTGTCATCCAGCTCCTGGGCTTTGGCCCTAATTTGCTTTGGACAGTGCCACACCTACAACTGGGGGCAGTGCGCGGGATGGGCTGATCCTCATGCTCATATGCAGACACCTCAATTGTTCATCATAAGGCTACTCTGCTCTTCTGCTCAATGTCAAGCCAATTGTGAAATCAGGGATCAAGATTTTTCACTTATATCAGACTTGCACCAACAGCACGAGGTATATTCCTCTTCCTTGGATCCTCTGAGCATATATTCAATAATTTCTCTCTCCTTGCAGTCTCAGTGCCTGCATGTCCCCTTCTTTTACGTGTGACATTTTCTGGGGGGTTGATCTTTAGTCAGGTTGTTGTAGTTGTTCTATATGAAAGTTTGCAGTGGGTCATTGTTAGGAAATATTTGGGAAAGGGGTGCCTGGAAATGCAGAGGACTGAACTGGATGGCCTTAGAGGCCCTTCCAGACCTATGTTCCTAGGCAAGGCTACCCAGAGCGGGGTGAAATTGGTGCAATATGCCCCTGGCCCCTGCATAGTAAGGGCCCCGCAGCGTAGAGGGCACGCTGCCGCTGAGCCCCTTACTATCTGTCACCAAATCCCCACTCTGCAGGCAGAATGGATGCATAGGCTAGCTGTCAACTTCAGTGTGGGAAGAGTGAATAGTGAGGAAAACAGAAAGAGCAAGAAAATGTGAAGGCACAACAAACACTAAGGAACAGACAGCCCAGCACTGTGAGTGGAGAGGAGGCTTTATTGGCAGTAATGGACGTTGTGTCCGTGGTGGGATTTGGCAAACAAGAACTTTTCCAGCCAGTGCTGAACTACAGCACAAAAGCTTTTATGAGTCTTATGTTCAGCAGATCCCTGGGTGTCCTTCACCTGGTGAAGCATTTGTGTCAGTCTGACACTTGCCTGACAGGAGAGCAGAGAAGAACTGGGCTGGGCTGGGCTGGGCTGTCTGGATAGAGGCAAACCTGACTCAGGCAGGAGATGGCACTAGATGACCTCTGGCGGTCCCTCCCAGCTGTACTCCAGCACAATGAAGTACAATCGCAATATCTAAAGGAGATGTCCTCAGGGACTGTCTCTCATACTTTGCTACAGGTATCCTCACTTTCTACCTCTAGGAAGGCAGCAAGAAGAAGGAGGTCTGTTTCAGGTCAGTGTGAAAACAGTTAAGAGCAACTTTTCAATACAAGAGTGAACTAAACTGCATCGCCTTTGAGGCCCTTCTAGGCCTATGTTCCTAGGTGCCTCTACTTGCATTTTATTGGAAGTGTGGCTGTTTCTTTAAGAGCGGACTCTATTCCCACTTGATTGGATTTGAAATTGCTCCAACTTCCTGTATGCGATCCCTTCACTTTCCAGCCAGGGATCACTGCAAGAGGAAATCTCATATATCAGTTTGGAAGGAAAAAAGGACTGTTTAATCCTGGAAGGAATGACTGAGGATAAACCCTGTATCTAGTTTATAATGGCAGTTAGTTGTGAAACAATATTTTACAGCGTGAACGGGGCCCCAGCCAGGCTGGAGCATGGGGCAGTCAGATCCCAGCTGCTCCTCCAGGGGCGCGGCGCAGGGCAGCAAGCAGGGGAATGCACTCCCCCCAGCAGCCCTTCCTGTCCCCCGGCCCCTCACCTGCAAACTTTCTGGGGGTGGGCAGGGTGAGGGTACGCATGCACACTCAGCCCCCTGCAAATAAATTTTTCTCCCTCCGCCTATGTTTAATGACTTGACATGACTTTAATGGATGAGGTCTGTATGGATTTAATGTTATGAAAGGACAGTGTCCCAGCGAGTCCTTCCACATGTTGCCCCGTTTGTTTCCAGCATCACTCTGGTCTTCCCTGGCTTTTGCTTGAGGCAGATGCTCCTCATCCAGTAATCCTTTACAGCTGCATTTGCTCAGATACGTTCTCACCCCGATTTCTCTTTCTTTCAGCGGAGAAGAGCTGTGATCTATCCAGGTAATGCAAGTTCATACTGTAGTGTATGCACTGTATAATGTAATGTATTGTGTGCCTAGGACATGTAATGTTAATATACAGCAGAAGGGGAGCAACCCTGCAGGGTGTTGCAGGCTGTGTTGCTGAACTACAAATCCCAGAGGCATCTGGAAGCAGGAAGAGGAAGTGATGAGCAGTGATGAGCAACTCTGCAGAGTCCTGAACTTTTCTTTATAAAAGTAACAAAACCCCTTTTGGCTGTGGTGCTCCTGCCTGAGTATTGTGATGGGCAAGTTTGTTTTTACCCTGAAATAAAATAGTTTTCTGTAGCATACTGTTAGGTTAACAATAATTTAGATTATTGAAAAGTATTAGCTTTGTAGCTAAACACAAGGCATGACCTGTGGCCTTGCAATGCTGCTGACCACAAGACAGAATGATAGCTAAGCCAGCCATTTTCTTATGCCAAGTGCCTTAACCATTTTGTTAGAAAAAGCAAAAATTAAGTCTGTGTACTGAGTACCAGTTGCAGCTAGGAGCAAGGTAAGATAAGGGGGGCCCAGAAGGAAGAAGATGGTACAGCGGAGTACAGGAAAACAGATTGGAATGTGTAAGATAACACTAACTTTTTTCTTTTGGAAAAGTACTGAAATTTGTAATGCACCATGTAAGGAGATGATTACCATAAGTACTGCATATTCAATAACCTTGTAGTTTTCTTTGTTAGAAAAGGTATAAAAGATGGCCCCACCTTTCAGTGGGGGCCATTTTGCCTCTTTGCTGGCTTATGGTCATTTGCTCGAGCAAATAAACTGCAGTTAACCCTTTACACGTGTTGTCTGGATTCTATGCGGCTAGACAACGGACTCCAGGGAGTTTTCTCCCATGACAATTTGGCGACCCAGATGGGACCCGTCTAGCTTGGAGCCTTTGGAGATCTCCACCCCCTGACACCCCAGCGCGCACCAGGTGAGTTCACCTATTTGGGTCAGTCTTGGGAGGTGGACGGTCCCCTTGGGACCAATAAGGCGGGACCCTAAATCGGGTAAAGGGACGGTGCTGGTGAGTACCTCAGGTCTGTATGTTTTTGGTTTAATTTCTGGTTCCCGGTTGCTCCTGGGTTTTGGTTTCTGGTTAGTCTTTTAGAGGACTCTGGTCTTGTTTCTGTTTGATTGTGGGTTCGAGTCCCACCTTTATTCCTCTAGAGGACTTTGAGAGCAGTCTTTAAGGGTATCCATCTGCCACTTTAAAAGCTGTTAGAGCGGCAGTCTGGCCGAAAGGCGAAAGACACGGATAAGAGGTAGAAGTGCTGTTATAACGGCCAACAACTAGGGTCTCGGACTCAAGACGCCCCTCCTCACGGAGAAAGCCAGTGGGGTCCAAGAACACTGGTTGTTGTACATAGACGAAACAGCTTCTAGGTAGGTAGGACTTAGGGAAATGAGACTGCTTATACTTGGATATAATCATGGGTTCTGGTCAAGGAAAAGGAAAAGTTATTCCCGATTCACCCCTTGATTATATGATCAAAAATTGGAAACATTTGGAGGGACGGACGGGACTGTCCAGGTCTCGTATGGCAGAACTCCGTTTGGCCGACTGAACGTCTTATACGTCTCAGTTAGATTTGAAAAGACAATGGCCAGAGAATGGATCATTTGACCCAAATCTCTTAACTGCCTTGCGAAAAATCTTGGAGAACCTCCGCCCCGGTGAAATGGACTATTGGTATTTGTGGGACAATGTTGCCAGCAAATGGTCAAAGCTCTTGTCAGTCATCCTGACCCCTATATCTTCCCCGAACTTGTTAGCTCCCCTTCAATGTCCAAAACCTTCCGCCCCACCCTCATATTCAGAAGATGATTATAAACCCATGCCTAGGCCCCCTAACCTGCCGTTAGTTTCACCTCCAATAATACCTGAACCCCGAAGCAGCACCCCCGGGCCGGCCGAGGGACCGGAAAATTCTGGAGAGACGTCATCCCGATCGCCTCTCTCGGAATTACAGGGTCCCGGATATGCAGATAGATCAAGAGATCGCTGTCCAGATTCCAGCACCACTCCCATAGCCAGTCACACCCGTTCCCACACAGCTGCGACTAAACTTCAGTTGCCTCTAAGAGAATACCCTGTGCCTGGTGAGAGTGGAGGAGTTGTCAGTCACTGGACACACACACCATTCACCACCACTGATCTTTTAAATTGGCAAGTAAACACCCCCAAGCTCAGAGACGGCCCCGAGGTAGTTCTAAGGCGCTTCAAAACCATTTTCATGACTCATAACCCCTCCTGGTCAGATGTCATGCAACTTCTCGATAGCCTTTTAACCTCAGACGAGAAGACCCAAGTATTACGCCACGCTGACCAATTTTTAACTAATCAGCCGCATCAGGACCACCCCATGCCACATGGCGTGCCTACGCAAGATCCAAATTGGAATTATAACAAGGAAAGGGGAAAAAATGCAATACGAATGCTAAAGGAAAGCATCTTAGAAGTGTTAAAGAAAGCAGGAGATAAGACTATGAACTGGTCCAAAGTGACATCTACTGTTCAGAGTTCAGAAGAACACCCTTCAGACTACTTTGAAAGACTCTGTAAAGCCATGCGCCGGTATGGGAACATAGATCCTGAATCACCTGACACTTTGTCTGTGTTAAGGCTTGTCTTCATGAGTCAGGCTAGTGAAGATATTAAACAAAAGCTCCAGCATAACACTGAGGGTGTTGAAGGTAAATCCATGGCAGAAATCTTAGCCATTGCTACTAAAACTTTTAATGGAAGGGAAGAAAAAAAGAGAAAAGAAAAACAAAAGGAAGATCAGTCCAACATTCGCATGTTGGCAGCGGTAATTCAGCCACCGAACCCTTACAGGACCAATCTGCCCCGTGGCCCATTGTGCCTAGGCCACCGGGCCGCACCTACCAACCTCATGGGCCCAATGTGTGCCATTACTGCAAACAGGAAGGACGCTGGAAAAGAGAGTGTAAGTTAAGACCGAAAGGACCCCCAAGTGACAATCCTGAAAACCAAAAATTCAAGAACCCCCAGCTCGCTACTGTTGCCCCAGACTTTGCTCAGGACCAATTTAACAACTGATGCGATGAGGGAGATTCTACATGTCACCTTTTGCAACTATCCTCTGTTCAACCTAAAGAAATTACTCTAAACTGCAGTACTCAGGATCCCCTGATACCCTTAGAAATAGGAGGACACGTCTATGAGTGCCTGCTAGACACAGGGGCAACTTTTTGCAGTATTTCCAAAGGACACCTTTCCCCAAGCGGAAAACAAGTCACAGTTATGGGTATCGAGGGCAGACCTTTCCGTTGTCCTTTTTCTCAAGCTGTTAATATCAAGATTGGTCCTCTTTCAGCAGAACACTCCTTCCTCTTAGCCAATAGTCCTGTCAACCTTCTA